GAAAGAAAGAGAGAGAGGGAGAGAGAAAAAGTTGCGCACCAAGGAAGAGAAAATTCCGAAATTCAAAATTTCCTTCGCGCTCCCCTCTATTTCTTCTCGCCCGTGGAATCTGCGAGGAAATGAAGTTTATAGAGAGGGAAGGGGGGGAAAAATAGTGGACGAAAATGGAGGAAATCTTGTACTTAAGGGGATGATGATGACGACGATAATTTTGGGAAGGAATTTTGGGAAGAAGGAAGAAAAATAGACGCCACTTTTCTCTCACCACTTTGAAACGAAAGGGAAGACGAAAATTTCCCCCCGGCGGGGGAGGGAAAGAAAAGAAGAAGCACACCTCTCTATCCTTATCCCTCGGCGAGAAGGCACCAGAATCCTTTCCAGAAAGAGAAAACCTTTTCCTCTTATTTTCCCCCTTCCCTCTCCTCTTTTCCACCCTCCTCACGCGCGCGAGAGAAGAAAAATTCAAATTCGAGACTCGACCCCCCCAACTCGGCCGGTTGTCATCACCCGCGCTTCCTTCTCTTCCTTCCCCTCCTCTCTCCCCCCTCCTTCTCTTCCTTTCCTCTTCTTCTCGATTTCCACCTTCTCCTCGTGTCCACCCTCGGGCAGAGAAGAGAAGAGAAACGTGAGGCGCTCAACGGACGTGTTACGTGTTACGTGTACGTGCGCGCGCGCGAGACACGCGATTCGGACGGGGCCCGTTGAGAGTTGGTTCGAGGTTGGCCGACGGGGACCGACTGAAGCCGCGAGCCACGCTCGCCTCGGCCACGAGCCACGTCCCAGTGACCTACTCACGATCTCGATCGTGGTGCTCGTCCTCTGCGCTCACCCCCTCCCACTTCCGCCTTCTGCGCGAGAGGGGCCCCCCGAACCAGGCCCACACCGCTCCCCTCACCGCTCTGCCGCCGTTTCCATTCCCTCTTTTTCCTATCTTCCGCTCTTTCTCACCTGCCCCCTTTCCTTCCCCCATTTTCTCTCCCTCTTCCCCCCCGTCTCTCTTCGACCCAGAGCTTTCTTTATTCTCGCGAGAGGGGAACGAGTTCGAGACTTTTGGCGAGAAAAAAATATAGAGAGGAGGAAAAGGTCCTCCTCGAGGTTTGGAAAGTGGAGGAAGAGGATTATAGTGATTTTGAAAAGCGATGAAAATTCGAAATGGGCCGGTTTCCGGGACGATATCCGTGACAATCGGACAAAAACGTGAGAGAGAGAGAGAGAGAATGGGTGAAACGGATCGTGACTCGAATAATCGTGGAAGTTGGATCGATAAATTGCAACTCGACGTCTCGATTGTGGAAGGGCCAGGATTCGACTTTGATAAATCGTATTAAAATAGGATCGATCGATAAATAAATTTTTCGACTGATCTTTGGATCAACTCGAATATTGGATATTGTATATGGAATAATATATAGATAAAAGAAGAAATGGACAACTCGTAATTATCGCGTGTGTTGATTACAACGCGCGAAAATAAAACGCCCCACTTTTGCGAGAGATTGCAAAGTCGAGCGATAATAGACTAGCTCCTTTTTAGAAGAAAAGAACTCTAAGTTGAAGAATCGTCGAGAGATCTGGACGAGGCGGAGGACACGTGAGTTTTGTCTGTTTCGCTCGTTTTTTCTTCCTTTTTGAAGGAGGAATATCGATGCACAGGTGAAGAAATTACACCGTTTTGCCAGATTCAATTTTTCGGATAACGATGTTACTCGGTCGTGATTGGCTTCTCGATCCACTTTTACGTCCCATTTGAATGCGAATGGAGGAGGGAATCGATTTCCATCTTCGCGATTCGATATCCGATTTTTTCTTCCCTTCTTCTTTTTTCCATGATAACAACGATTTATTGAATGTAGCTAAACCGGTTTCCTCCTCTCTCGTGTTTATCTTTTATTTAGCTCGTTTAATTATCCGATCCCCGTCTATTCCCCTCCTCCATGAAAAATTTTCGTAATTTCACCTTCGCCTCTCCCTCTCTCGCCCCCTCCCTCCGCTCTTCTCTCGTTACAAAACGACCCCGATTACGATTCACTTTCACCGCCCAGTTTTATCCACAGTTTTCAACGCGGTTATCGAGTCCAGGTGGATACCTGGAGCCAGGTTGTAACCGACTTCCGGACGGATTAGCGGCAACCACCGCCGCATGCGGGCGGTGAGAATCTGGGTCGGCGGTTTGCTTTTACAGCGCCCGTTCTTATCGATCGGGCCTCGGCGACGAGCTGAAACGAAATGGAAAGTGCCAAGCGCGCTTCCCTTCGGTTTTTTCGGTTCGGTTCGAGTTGTCTTCGAAGTTCGAAATATCTTTCCCTCCTATTTTTGAGCAAGGTCGATGATTTAAAATTCGAATTAGAATTTTTGTAGGGAAGGAAAGGGGAGAGATTTTCTTTTTTTTTTTGGAAAAGTTTGGAAGAAATGGAAGAGGCTTGTGAGAGAGGGGAACGAGATGTGGAGGAGGGGGAATGGGGAGAAGAAAGGCGGGTTGTTATTAGGAGAAAGCGGCCCCGAAAATTCATCTTTTTTTTAGCGCAGGCTTCTCAATCCTAGAGAAGTTTTCCTAGAAATTTCGAATCTTTTTCTTCTTCTTCTTCTTCTAGTAGAGATTCTTTGTTTCAAAATTTACATACCGAAATTTTAACCCATTTCGTCTCTAAATATAGTTTTATATATATATATATATATATGTACATATATTTTTCTCGAAAGAAGAGAGTACTTTCTTTTTCTTCTTCTTCTTCTCCTTCTTCTTCTGGATTCTTTGTGTGTTTCAAAATTTACTAGATATAATTTTATATATGTGTACATATATTTTTCTCGAAAGAAAAGAGCACAATCTTCTTCTTCTTCTTCTCCTTCTTCTTCTGGATTTTTTTGTGTGTAATTTGTGTCAAAATTTACTAGATATAATTTTATATATATGTATATTTTTCTCGAAAGAAGAGAGCATAATCTTCTTTTTCTTCTTCTTCTTCTTCTTTTTCTTCTGATAGAGATTTTTTGTATATTTCAAAATTTACATACCGAAATTTTAATCCATTTTGTCTCTAGATATAATTTTATACATATATATACATATATATTTTTCCTTCTTCTTCTGGATTCTTTGTGTTTCAAAATTTACTAGATATAATTTTATATATGTGTACATATATTTTTCTCGAAAGAAGAGAGCACCTTCTTCTTCTTCTTCTTCTTCTTCTTCTTCTGGTAGAGATTCTTTGTGTGTTTCAAAATTTACTAGATATAATTTTATATATGCGTACATATATTTTTCTCGAAAGAAGAGAGCACCTTTTTCTTCTTCTTCTTTTTCTTCTTCTTCTTCTTTTTCTTATCAAATTTGGAGGTTTGGTAGAAATTCTTTGTGTTCAAAATTTATTAGATATAATTTTATATATGCGTACATATATTTTTCTCGAAAGAAGAGAGCACAATCTTCTTCTTTTTCTTTTTCTTCTTCTCCTTCTTCTTCTGGTAGAGATTCTTTATGTGTTTCAAAATTTATTAGATATAATTTTATATATATATATATTCTTCTTCTTCTTATCAGATTTGGAGGTTTGGTAGAGATTCTTTGTGTGTTTCAAAATTTAGATACCGAAATCTTAACCCATTTCGTCTCTAGATATAATTTTATATATATGTACATACATATTTTTCTCGAAAGAAGAGAGCACAATACGCGCGCCACTGGTTGTGTTATTTTAATGAGCGCCATGTAAGTTGATGAAAGCTACTGTTAAATACAAGTACGATTTGGAATGAGATAACGACCTCCTTTCCAACCAACCAAGATTTTAATTGAGAGTTTAGGTAAACGGACAACTGTCGAATGATCGACAATCTTACTTAATAAAATTATATACGAGACACTTTTCTTCCATCCTCTTAGAGAATAAGAAAAATGTAAAAATTGATTTGAAAAAGAGAAATATTTCCACTCCACAGATGGTGGAAATTATTAGAAAACTTGCGATTATATTAATCTCGTCCAATTATCCATAAACGGTTAATAATTTCCACTTAAAGAAAGAGGACTTGATAACCGAATGATAAGAACGTGCGAATCATTACTTTGTTTAGTAAAAAGAAAAACAAAAATAACAACTCCTCACAATCGAGTCGAATTTCTCTTCCGCGAGAAAGAAGAATAGTTTTCTTCTTCTTCTTTTTCTTCTTTTTTTTTTTTTTTGCATCCAACAACCGTGGCGACGTTCCATTCGCGCACGCGTGTCTCGAGAATGTGTCTCCCGTCCGCGTCTCACGTTCTAAATCACGAATGCGTAATAGAGAGCGAGGAAAACGAGCACCTAAACGGGGCCGGGTGCTCGATCTCGGATAATTTCGAAATTCTCGTCGAGATCGTTTCCCGGATGGATGCAGGGAATAATTGTGCATTAAAAAACTCGGGATGACGATGACGAGTGGGCGGAAGGAACGATCGTTAGCCGGAGAAACGTTGTTGCACAATTATTTCGTAGGCACGTGTGTATATATATATATATAGGTGCATATAGGTGTGCACAGGTTCCGTCATGCGCTTCCTCTACCCTCGTTTTCGTCGGTTGAACTTGAGCCTTGAGAGAGAGAGAGAGGGGGGGGGGAGAGATATCCTCATGAATTTATCATCATTGGTCGTTAAATCTTTGTACCGTTTTTTTTTCTTTCCATCAACGGCCATCGCTAACCTGACCCACATTCAAAAATACCGAAGAATAATTCCGTTTCTTTGGTTAAAATCCGATCCGAAGGAATTCCCTTCAAACTTGGGAAACCGAAGTGAAATAATAAAGAAGATTCTCGGTATATGATAATTCCTCTGAACAGAAACTATATAACGTATATCTTTTTCCCTCTGATCGCGATTAAAAGGAAAAGAACACGAGATTCTCGACTCTCGATTCTAATTCAGAGTCGAAATATTTCGAAAATTTTCTTATTCAACGATTAATCGAAATTCGAAGACAAATCTCGAAACGTTTCGATTCACCCGTCAACCATTTTTCCTCAAAGATCCGTCACACGTTGCGCGTATGGGCGATTAGGTTTCGTGTAAAAAAGAATCGATCGATGCGCCACCATCCGTGCAAAGCGAATACTAAGGGAAGAAGAAGAAGGAGAAGGAGAAGGAGAAGGGACGAAGTCCCGGTTCCCTCGTCACGGAAATCAGATATCGGATGGCGACGCGGCTTCCTCCTCCTCGTTTCCCCCTTATTACTATTATTATTATTATAATACCGGTGCGCGTGTGGTGCAACCCTTTTGTCGAGGCGTGACAGGTGCGAGCGCTACGAGTGTGACGTAACGAGGTACCGTTATAGGAGCGCGATGCACACGCACGCATCGAGCGAGAAACCCCGAGTAAGAATGCGAGGCGAGCGAGGCGGCGCGGAACGGAATGGAACGGAACGGGACGGGACGGAACGGAATGGGACGGGACGGAACGGAACGAGGAACGGTCGCCGCGAAATTCTGTCCTCCCCGAGTGTTTGTGAAAGTGACATGGAGGAAAGGATGTGCGAAGGTAAGAAAGAAAGAAAGAAAGAAGAAAAAAAATAAAGAAAGGAAGGAAAGAGAGAAAAAAAAGGAGGAAAAGATGGGGGCATGCTAATGGTTACGCCGTTCCACTTATCGGATGGAAAGTTAAGAGTCGAGGCACGCTCTTACGGGGCGGATTATTTTTCGAAGGAAAAATCGCGAGAGTTGGAACCGTTTCCCCGAATCGGTCGGTACGATCGTTCCCCGTTCCCCGGTCCAACGATCAACTTGGTCACGATGTTTATCGCGCGTTTGTAATATACGTTAATTTGGAGAGGTTTGAGATGTGACGAGACTCACGTGTATTTGAAATGTATATTAATTTGGAGAGATTGAGCGTGTTTTGAGAAATACGTGCATTTGTAATTCGTTAATTTGAAGAGGTTTGAGATATGATGAGAGGTACATTTGGAGAATAAATTCGTTAATTTGGAGAAGTTTTGAGATGTGGTGAGATAAATAAAAATTATAATTTGAAATTATTATGTACTGTTAGAGATATATGACATTTGTAATTTAATAATTTAGAGAAGTTTGAGAATGTTTTATTATATTGGAGAAATTTTGAATTATTATTGGACTATTATAACATTAATCTCGTAATGTAGAGATATGTGCATTTATTGAAAGTTTGCGAATATAATATTTAGGAGAGTTTAAAAGATAAATAAAAATTGTATTAGAAAAATGTTGAACAAGTATAAGAATTAATAGAATGGTGTGATTCCAAAAAATTATGCTATAATTTTACCTTTTTTAATCAGCTGATTAAAATTACCTCAATAAATTACGAATCAAAGTGAATGAAATCGGAAAATATACCAAGAAAAATATATATTTTTTTAAATACCAATGAACATGAATCTCTGAAAACAATTCCAATTTATCCTCATCTCTGGACAAAAATTTTCAAATTTTGATCGAAGAATAATATTACTCGAATAATTTATTAATCAAAACTTCTCTCTCTCTCTCTCTCCCCCTCCACCCAAAAAAATTATGTAATTCAAAAGAAGAAATGATTTTAAAAAATTATAGGAGAGGAATGTACAATTTTCAAAATAGCTAAATGAGCGTGGAGAAAAGAGAGCGGGAGATAATTTTACACGATCTGGTTAACAGGTGGAAAGGGAGGGGGGGAGAGAATCGAGAAAGATCGGAAAACGAGATGCGTTTCGGATAATTTTATCTCGGCATTTGGCATTTTCTTTTTTTTTCTTCCTTCCTTTCCCATAGGCAGGGAAGGAACGGCAGGAAGCAGAAAGCGGGAAATTAAGGCAAACGCCGTCGCAACGCGGCGGAAAATTGATCTCACGTGTGGACACGAGCAACGAGTTCCAACTTTCACGAATATTCGTCCCGCTCGTTGAAAGCGGTTCGAAATCCGGATTCGACGAAAAGCCTTTCGATGCTTGCTTCTACCCCGTGGAAATGTGCACGCGAGTTCGTAACACGCGAGATTCGAACGATTTCCCTCATAATCTCGACAACGATTTATTTTTCGTCGCTCGATCGAAAACATCGATCGATCGATCGATCGATTATATCTCTTATGATTATCCCGCATATATAAATTTTATATTTTATAGAATTGTGAGTGTAGAATCTGGAAAAGATTATTTTCACTCGATCGATCGATCGATTATATCCCTGACGATTATCCCGCATATACAAATTTTATATTTTATAGAATTGTGAGTGTATAATTGGAAAAGATTATTTTCACTCGATCGAAAACATCGATCGATCGATCGATCGATTATATCTCTTACGATTATCCCGCATATATAAATTTTATATTTTATAGAATTGTGAGTGTATAATTGGGGAAGATTATTTTCACTCGATCGAAAACATCGATCGACCGATCGATCGATTATATCTCTTACGATTATCCCGCATATATAAATTTTATATTTTATAGAATTGTGAGTGTATAATTGGGGAAGATTATTTTCACTCGATCGAAAACATCGATCGACCGATCGATCGATTATATCTCTTACGATTATCCCGCATATATAAATTTTATATTTTATAGAATTGTGAGTGTATAATTGGGGAAGATTATTTTCACTCGATCGAAAACATCGATCGACCGATCGATCGATTATATCTCTTACGATTATCCCGCATATATAAATTTTATATTTTATAGAATTGTGAGTGTATAATTGGGGAAGATTATTTTCACTCGATCGAAAACATCGATCGACCGATCGATCGATTATATCTCTTACGATTATCCCGCATATATAAATTTTATATTTTATAGAATTGTGAGTGTATAATTGGGGAAGATTATTTTCACTCGATCGAAAACATCGATCGACCGATCGATCGATTATATCTCTTACGATTATCCCGCATATATAAATTTTATATTTTATAGAATTGTGAGTGTATAATTGGGGAAGATTATTTTCACTCGATCGAAAACATCGATCGACCGATCGATCGATTATATCTCTTACGATTATCCCGCATATATAAATTTTATATTTTATAGAATTGTGAGTGTATAATTGGGGAAGATTATTTTCACTCGATCGAAAACATCGATCGAGCGATCGATCGATTATATCCCTGACGAATTTTACATTGTATAATCGGAAAAAGATTATTTTCACTCGAACGAAAACATCGATCGATCGATTATATCCCTGACGAATTTTACATTTTATAAAATCGTGAATGTATAATCGGGAAAAGATTATTTTCACTCGATCGAAAACATCGATCGATCGATTATATCTCTGACGATTATCCCATATATATATAAATACGAATTTTAAGTTTTATAGAATCGTAAGTGTAGAATCGGGAAAAGATTATTTTCACTCGATCGAAAACATCGATCGATCGATCGATCGATCGATTATATCTCTGACGATTATTTCGCATATACAAATTTTACATTTTATAAAATCGTGAGTGTATAATCGGGAAAAGATTATTTTCGCTCGATCGAAAACATCGATCGATCGATCGATCGACGATTACCTCGCATATACGAATTTTACGTTTAATAGAATCGTGAATGTATAATCCTGAAAAGATTATTTTTCACCTCGGTTTCCCTCCTCGCGGGAGGAAGAGATTTTCATGCTTGTCGAGAAATCGACCATTGGACTCGATCGCGGCCTCTAAATCATCAACATCGCGGCGTTTACATCGTACGTAGGCTGATTTCACATGCAGCGGGATTGGATCGATCGGTACGAATGTTGAACGACACTCGTGAGACCTCTCGTGACGGCGAAATCCCGTCCTCCCGGCCCCTCGTCGCTCCCTCCTCGCGCGTGCACGAACGTGCCAACATCTTTCTCTGCCTACACGCGGCCTTATTCTCGGCATAGAACCGGAGAAGGAAGGACGCCTCGAAGAGAGACGTGAGAACGCTGACACACTGACTCGCTACCCCACATACCCTTTTGCCTTTTCAACGTGTTCGTGTTCGTGTTCACGGGATCGAGGGAGTGGGGATCGATCCGCGAGGAAGAAAACGTTACAGCTTCCGCTGAGCCCGCGGAAT